TCGAATACCTTCATGCTGTGGGAGAGCAGACGAATTGGTCGGTAGCTCGTACAATCTGCAAGACTCCCCTTTTTCTTCCAAATCGGGATCGTCGTACTCTGTTGCCAACTCTCCGGCACTTTCTTTTCTGCGACGACTTGGTTGAAGAAGTTCGTCAGCCACTTTGCTGTTCCAGCACTGTGACTTCCACAGATCGGCCGCCAAGTCGTCGGGACCCGTTGCTTTACCTGTCTTCATCTTCTTCAAAGCCGCTTCTGTTTCGCTCACAGTTATCTTCGAGACAGGGCCGTGGACCGGAGGAGCAGAAGGTATTGGCGGGTGTGAGAATTCCACTGTCGAGATTTTCTCAAAGTAGTCGTGCCACCGCTTCACAGCCCTCTTGCGGTCCATTACGAGTCGTCCGTTCTCGTCATTGATGCCGAAGACTTCTCGATATCTTCGGTCTGGCGATAGCGAGCCTTGGCTTAGATGCTAGATTGTAAATATGAGCGTTCGCGGGCGCGCGTATAGAGTCTTCCTCGCCTAACTGCCGACGAGATGAACTGCTCTGAACAACAGCCAGCAGCTTTCTTTGCTGCCTCTTCGCGCTCTGATAGTTGTTCCAGTTATCGCTCGACTTGTCACCGAGAAACACTTTGTAGAGCCTTTTCTTCTCTCGTAACTTTTCTCTGACAGTGTCGGTCCACAGCCATGTCTGCTTGCCGATTTCCGCCGCCCAGGCTTCGTAATACCAAGCTCGGGAGCGAGCAACACGGACTATCGCTTCTGTGGACCTTTCCATGTTTCGTCGACAGTCGTTACTGCGAATAGCCGAATGCGCCTGAACAGAGCGGATTCCTTTTCTTTCAATCGCCACCCATCTTGATCCTTGCAGGCCACACCGTTCGCTTTCTTGTCCTTGGAGGGGCAATATTTAATTGCAAATTCAGTGCGATGTTGCGTAGCGACTGTCTCGTACGGCACTGTCTTCGCGTCGCGTCACTAGCCCTCGATACACTGTTGCCTAAACAAGACGAAATCAATCTGAGTTTCTGGTATTACCGCTGTAGAACGTGATGAGGTGTGAGTCACGTTTACGATAGTTTGTGTTCACGATGGTGAGATTGTGAGAGCTTGCATATTCAAGAATGCGCTCACCATCGGCGTTTCGTGACCCATAACACAAACCCACATGACAACTATAACCATCTTTTTCGCAGATCCAACGTGTCATTAAGGTCACCCTGCGACAATGATAGCGTCCTCCGATGTCCTCAGCGTTTTCTCATCTAACAGGGCCAGAACCCGTCCTTGGCTCGTTCGAGCAGCCGGTCTGTGGAGCGTAAGCAGAAAAGATGTGGTATTGACGCTGCTCCACAGCAACAACGATTCATCAAGCGGTCATCGTAACGTACGACATTCGCAATAGAATCGCGACCGGATAAAGACAGATCCACACCGACGCCGCTGGTTGTCGCTGGACAGCCCCAGATAGAAACGACTTAACGTAAGGTAGATAACCTGGATTCGTGCGGTGCGAACGAATAGTGACGCTTCACTGTGCGTTGAAAAGACGAGGCCGAAACTGTGTATAGCGTTATTGAATGCTTGAGCCAATAAATGAAACAGAGAGGTTTGAAATCTACTGCCGAACGTTGCGCCCGGTAGGCGAGTCGTTTGTTGGCACACTCAAGGATTGTACCTACACACACAGTCGGGTCGGCACGCGCGGATCCTATTCCCTGAAACAAAGCCCACCAAGCTTTCCTACGTTGAGCCACTGAGGCTCTTCGCAACTCACTGCACTAAGCTTCTTCCCAACGCTAGCCACTAGCTCCTTCTAATCTGCCAACTTAGGTCTCAATTCCTTCGCCACTAAGGCTAGCTCTCGCTCTCCCATCCTATCGAGCTTTGCCCTCCTTCTTAACGGGCCCCTGCCGGCTCCTAAACCGCACTTACGCACTACTGGCATCCTGACCCCGCTTTCATAGGGGTGATTCCCGGCCGAACCGCTTTCCCTCTGGCAAGGTGTCTCCCTATGACCCCGCGCGCATTCGGCCTCCTTTCGACCCTACTCGTGCTCCAAAAACCAGCTGATCATCAGCTGCGGTCCAAGCAGTGCACGGCCTTTCCCTACCATGCCCCCTCGCTGAAGTTCGACGTCCTCACTCGACGCGTCCTATTACTTCTACTAGTTAAAAGTCGCCGCATGTACCTTATTCATCACGCGACGACATCTTATGGTAGCTGTTTTGATGCGCAAGTTCTACGAGTCTGAACACCAATTGACATTATGTTGTAAAGCGGCTTGCATCTTGCTCGTCCGTTTCTTTGAAAGGTTTCAAATCTTTACCTTACTTTCTTCCCTCCTGTGTTCTTGTTCTGCATTTCTTGTCCTCCGTGCTGCACCAGTGGGAAGATCAATGCAAGTTTTTGCATGCTTGCTTTGTGCGGGGCTATTTGCTTCCCCTCTCCTATTCAGCCATCTCTTTTTCTAGTTCGCTAAAAATTTATCCTGATCCATTACACTCTCACCAACGCGCTGTCCTGCGCGCGATACACATCCACGCTTTATTACCGTCATACTTTTCCACTTCTACTCGTCCATTCGCTGCTCGCTACTTCTCTCATTGTCCGCCTACTTACGGAACGAACCAACACCTAACTTACTCAGGGCAACTTAGTACCTAAGAATAATTTCGCCGCCTTGACTGAACTCATGTGGAAACGTACAAATCCTCGCTTTTCCCTCCTTCTAGCTCGCGTCTCAACAATTGCACTGCTCCGAGAATCTGGCAAAAGCCTCTTCTGCTTTCAAGCCAGACCCCACGGCCAAACTCGATTGATTCAAATCGGCGACTGAGATGGCCACCATTTTGTGCTCGTTACCATGGAAAATGACGAATCTACAGCCATCCTTTCTGTCAGTACAAAGAGAACAACGTTTAGTTCTGAGAGCCAGGCAAGATGCCACACGAAAACAGGCGCTTAGCTGGACTGTCTCAAGTCAGCTGTCAGTGCGTCGGATACGCTCATCTCCCCTCAATTTTGCGCTTCAGCCTTAAGAATTTCCACTGAATTACACTACCAATCGCCCTCGTGTCGATCAATGCCTGATTCTTGCTACCCAGTAGGGTCACCTGTTTCACCAAACTCGGCACCTACTGATTGCACATAGTTCCCTTCTTCTCGTCCTACTGTCATCCCCAGCCTGGCGCGCCTGCCTTTAATGATCGTCTGACAGGGTAAAGTTCTCAAGCGTCTTCCTGTTCCTTGACAGCGATTACTCTTATCGATTGCTGCGGACAGTGTCTGGTTATATGGCCATATTTCGACAAACTGAAACACTCTCGTTGCTTTTGTCTCGGTATCCGCTGATCGAGACCTAGGCGTGGATCGTCCTTGGCTTGTCCGTCTGGCAAGATTATAAAGGCGGAGCGAGCCAAGCAGCCTGCGACTTACAGTCAGGTACCACTTCGTGTCTGCACGCGCACAGGAAATCACTTCTTCTCTCTCCAGTGCTTCTACCAACTCGGCACGAGCGACCTGTCAATGTGCGCCACATTTCTAATGTTGTAACGGGCGAACCCTTCCATACGTTGCGGACTTTGGCACTAAGCCCTAGTTGCGCCCGATGCCGTCCTTGCATCGAACCGCTCGCATACTTTTTACACTCGCCGGGCTTTGCGAGTGCGCGTCGGCTCTCGCGGACGCCGTAGCATTATCTCGATACTCACATAGCGACATGACATTTGTGATGTGACGTGGGTGTTCGTAGGCCGGCCTGTCACGGGGGCCTGTCGCCTGCATTCGAATGTCCGCGTTTAGCTCAGCTCACAAAGGTGAGCAGTTTCCAGTGGCACCACTAGGAGGAACGGACACCACCACCAATTTGTGCCGTCATAAAAAACCATATTCATGTGAGAGCATGCATGTAACAATTCAAATGCCTACTTTCTGATGTTCTGTGTTTTGATATTGTTTCTTATTCCATTGCAATGCCTTTGCGTTTTGCCCGACCACCACACTCTTCATTTGAAAATGAAGGTATGCTAATCAGTGCTCTCTATGACATATGTGTACTCTTTTGCCCACTCCATGGTGATCGCCGGTGATTTTAACCTGAGTATTGATTGGTTGAACATAACACATTCGAGCACAGACGTACGCTTTAATGAGGTTTTTTTCTTGTTGTAGGCTGAAGCAGTGGGTCACAGCAGGTACTAGAGGTAATTCAGTCTTGGATCTGATTTTGACATCGGGCGTCTCAACTGCGAATATTGAAATGCTACCCCCTCTTGGAAATTCAGATCATGACACCGTACGGTTTGAAATTGATTATGTGATTAGTGCGAGCGCTTACATACCTGCTCCTGATTTCAGTCGTATGGATTACGATGCGCTTAGTGATTGCCTGAGGAAAGTGAACTGGTATCAGCTGTTCAATGAGTTCAATTCTGTTCAAGAGCTGTATCGCAGGTTCTGCATGGTCTTATATGAACGTTTCTCAGTACTGCTGCCTTTCCGTTGCGCAAAAGGTAAAGGGAAACATACCTGAAGCACATTAGGAATCTGATTGACCAGAAATCACAGCTTTTTAGTAGATTACACAATCCTTTGTCTGATGCTCTTTTTAAGAAGGCATACTCCGATATTGACCGCCATATCAAAAAATACCTGGCCTATCGCGAGCGCCATATGTGGGAGGGCTCTGCATTCTATGCCTACCTTAGAAAGAGAATTAACGGCTTCCCCAACGCTTCGTTCATGGTGGACGAAGATCCTTTTAGCTCAGATAGGGGAAGGGCCATATCCCTTGGTAATTACTTTGCAGCCGTGTTCAACAGGTGTGAGAGTTGCTCAGATATATCTGACCAATCCAATTTACCCGTTATTTCTGATCGCACAGATGCTTTTCCGGACTTTGTAATTCAACCGTGCGATGTGTTGAGAATCATGAAGAAACTCAACTTCTCGTCCTATGCTACCTAAGATGGCATCCCCCAAATAGTATTCCGCAAATGTTGTCTTGCCCTCCAGTGTCCAGTGGCGTTTATATTAAATGCATGATTGTTATTTGGGGAAGTTCCAAGTGTATGGAAAAATGCATTGGTAACTCCCGTTCCTAAGGTGGCTGAAGCTGAAAAAATATCCTATTTTAAGCCTTTAGTATTTGCCCCGTAGCGGGAAAGATTCTTGAGAAACCCATAAGCGAGAAGCTACGTAGTTGGCTGAATGAAAGAGGGGTCATTCCAACTGAGAAGCATGGCTTTATGCCCGGTGCATCCACTACCTCGATTTTATGTGACTCACTCTATGACTAATTGATAGCCCTCAACAGTAGGGAACCTATTGACGTTATATACTTTGATCTGACCAAAGCGTTCGACAAAGTATGTCACCACAAGCTGGTGCGGAAAATCGGTGCTATCGGTATTAAAGGTCGACTTCTTGTCTGGGTCTGTTCGTATCTTGAAGAAAGATATATGAAAGTTAAAGAAAAATACAGAAATACAGAAACGAATTCTCAAACAAGATTCCTTGCACCAGTGGTGTGTCGCAAGGTGGGGCCCTTTCCCCCCTGTTATTCCTAATGTACACTGCGGACCTGCCCGAAATTCTGAAAGTTCGTCCAAGTGTCAAGATTAGAATGTGTGCAGATGATATCAGAATATACTGTTCTTACGCCAGCCATGAGCAACCTGAGGCACATAGAATGTTGAGCTTAGTCATAGAGAAGATGTTGGAGTGGTGTAACAGATGGGATATCCCCCTCAATGTGGCAAAACCACACACTTACACCTAGGCCCATGTACACCAAAGTCATACCAGGTTTAGCGTGCCTCAATAAGGAGCGAGTCGTCTGTGAATGACCTTGGAGTTCTTGTTAATGACTTATTGACCTTCAATGACCATTTTACTACTGTTGCAAGAATAGCTCTCAATTCGCTTTTCGTGATCCTGAGGAACGTTCATAGAAATGCACCTGCTCTGCTAGTAAGAATGTACAAGGCCTACATACTACCTAAATTAGAATACGGTTCATTTCTATGGAGTCCCTTCGTGAAGAAACACATATACTGTTTGGAGAGAGTTCAAAAAATCTTCACGAGAATTGTGTTTTATCGATCGTTTCCCAATCCTAATTACGCCCAAGCTCTCCCACCTTACAAATATAGGCTCGACAGGTTGAGCTTGAAAAGTTTGAATTATAGACGAATATTCAATGATTTGGTTTTTGGTTTCCGATTTATCAAGAGAGAAATCAAATTGCAAGCCAGTAAGTACTGGATATTCCGGCCATACGGGAGGAGTGGAAGTGAGTATTCTATTCACTATTACAATGCGTTAAAATTATTTAGAATACTCTGTGTATCTGTATTGTGTATAACTAGAATATCGTACATATATCTGAATTGTAGGTATCGTGTGTTATCATGGTTAAGTCAGTAGATGTATTCGAAATATGATAATGTAAGATCAGCTAACAAAGGGCTAACATTACTTCCTTGTGGTACTCCAGTTTTTTTGTATGAACAAAAATTCTGAAAATTTACAGTAACTGGTTTTTAGATGGTAATCTATTAGGTAAAGTATATCTGCGATTGTGTAATAGGCGTAATTTCCGTAGGTTGTTTTGTCAGTATGGAAAATTCTTTTACCATCATGTGCAATATTTTTTTGTTGTTGTTTTATAACATATGTTCAGTATTTCTTTAAAAAATTTTAATATGTAAGAATGTGGTATAGTGAACATGTTGGTGAAGTCTCCTGAAAAAAGTTTCATATTTTCCATGCGTAGATTTTGCAGTTGTTCGCCGAAATTGATATTATTAATAGCCCAATAACCTACGTACTGAATATTTCTACTCTTTATGGTGTTGTTGTAGTTGATAAAGTGTGTTCTTATAAAGGCTAGAAGTTCTGTAAGTTCTAAAGATAATGGTTTGAGGCTACTATTTTTGGCCCCTGTTATGAATCGAAATTTAATTGGTGATTTACGTAGTTTGGGTATTCCATAAATTTTTAGTACATTCATATTATTCATATTTTCGATGTTGTTATTGTTCACACACCTTTCACATCTCTTAACTATAATATTGCAAGCGCTGAAGTGAATCGGACACCTCTGCAATCACTGAAAAGGGTTTATACCCGCAGGATCTGTCTATCTGAACCAGATTTGTCTGAAAAATACCACACTTTCTGAAATTACCTTCCTAGGGTTTTGCGATTGTGGCGCAGGTTCAACTTAGGTCAGTTCTCTCTTCAAGTTGCACGGGTTGAAGGTCTACCTCATCGTAGTGACCAGCTTTTTTTCACCGCTTTCCAATCTCTAATTTTCTGAAATAGAAGCATTAAATTACGCGTGACGCTGATTTCAAGAAGAATTACAGTCTGGGACAGTCCTTAACTCTTCTATAATCATTTATAGAGACCTTTTTGTGGATGCTCGAAACTTGTAGAATATCTGGAGACGTGGGAGCTTTCCAATGATTCATCAGTAGAGCGAGGACTTTCCGAACTGCTTTGGAAAGACTGCTGGGCATCCTAAAATGTTTAAACTCTACCTTTTCCTCAAAGGACGAGTCTGAAGCATTTCATAAAGTTAGCTATTGGGTGTGCTGTGATGATTATTCAGTTTCATAGGCAGATTGGTTGTTTCTGATAATGTAGTATTCATTTATGCAGGCTGACTTACTATGAATGATGCAAAAACCAAAAATAATTATAGAAAGGTTAACAGAGCTTTCCCCGCCAAAACTGCGATCTAGGCTTTTTTCATAGTGAGGAATCAGCTGGAAAAATTACAAGTGTGCCGTTTGTTTCGGAAATGCAAATTTCAAAGTGACCTTATAATTATGAAGCGCACTGTACGAACTAGAACCCCATTACACGGCTTTTAATATTTGGGAGAGATTTTTAAAAACATTCCATCGATTAATTGAACAAAACACAAATTTATTGACGTTCTTCTCTGCCTTCACCTCTGGTGATGTCTTCCAAAACAAACGGCTATAGCGGATCATTTGTTTCTTATACCACTTGCTAGCATTACTTCAGCCACAGTCAGCCCCTTTAAATCGCCTCAATATGATGTTCTCGCCTGAAAAGCTGCTTATGACTACGGTGATCTCATATATTCGAACTTTTGCCATTCTGTAACGCTCACCCACCCCAGAGTCTCCCCCCCCCCTCATCCCCCTCCAAAGCTCAGTCTTACAACATCCACCTTCCACTCTGGAACTACAAGCCGAGCCAAGCGTTGTTCTCTAGTCGTCTGTGCTCTGGATATTCGTGGCAGGACCATAATGAAACTTCATGTGATCCGTAAACCCTAAAACGTACAGCACTACATTTTGTTTTGTTTGACGCGAAATCACTACAGTACGTGTTGCGACTCGCGCTGACTCTGCCTTCTTGCCGCGCGATGGGCCTCCTGTCGGATACCCCATCTTTGATATCATGAATACAAAGGACAAGAGAAAATGTCAGGATTATGATGCAGGTTCGACCGCCTCTCCGAACAAGTCAGGCAAGGAGGGCTATTGGTAATTTTGGGACGGAGTTGTATTTGGGGTCAACGAATGGTAAGTATATTTGAAGGTCGTGTGTGTGGGATTTAGAAGTTGGGGAGGGTCGTGGTGGTAGTCCATAGGGATGCCGTTCGTTTTGATGAAATTTTCAATAGGTTTGAGAACTTTTACAAGGAGGCATGAAGAAATTCAGAATCATAGAAGAAATTTAAAAAAATAAGTTAAGATTAAAATAAATATAGCGTTTGCCGTTTATTTTCGTAATTTACATACGCTCTTCCCTGGCTTATCGTCATCGCGATGGATCGTATTGAGCCATTAGGGAGGAAGGGAGTTGTAAAAATTTTTTTATCTCGGACGGAGTCGAGGATGGCGCTGCTCCCACGCGTGTATTTCCTCAGAAATGGACTGAGTGGGGCCTGAAGAACCGTCATGAACACCTTGTCGACATACACTCTTCCAGAGAATAGAATAGAATGTTGGCCATGTTCATAGGATTGATTCCCACGAAAAATTGAAAGGTTATCTCAAGAATCCTGCCTAGCCTTGTAGCTCTTCCCTTTATTCACTATGATCGGCGAGTGCGAGGAATACCGGAAGCGAAAAGTTACAGACAGATTGTTTAATCAGGCGGCTGTTGGTCCCGCAACAATGGCGGCAGTCCAAAAAACTGGTTAAACACTGCACGAGGCCATCCGCAAAGCTAGACAAGTTTGTGGGGCCGATGTCAGACTTCGATCGAGCGATTCGCTAGCGTCCATGGTTGCGTCGCGGCCAGCGAACGCTCTATTGGTTGGCACCGTACCGTGTTACGTATAAGCGACGGTCAATGGCGTTTTGCTCGAAGCGACTCGAAGAGCATCGCCGTGGAGAGCCTCGCATGTCTGTCCGCTTGAAAACATTCTTGCAAGATCAATGGCCCAGGAGACCATGTAATGAATATTGGGAAGCTCTGTTTATTCTCAATGTGACGATCTGATCTCTGCCTGAGAGAGGATGCGAAAGTCAAAACATTCCTAAAGCATGCCCCAGGATCACATTGGTGTGGCTCTTGCGCACGTATGCGAATGTATTGGTGCGAAATGGAAAAACAGGAAAACAGTAGGGAAGAAAGGAAAAAAAATTCGTCGGAAACGCTTAGCTTAAGGCCCGCTCGCCTTCCTATTCGCCTGTGTAATTGAATGAGAGGCTAACAGTAAGAGGGTAGTAGAGGGTGTGAGGCGAGAGAGAGAGAGTCAGACAAAAAACTTGAAAACAAAATCTGCTGCTCCGGTAGCTAACTTCCCAAGGCCAAACGCTCTCATCAGTTAGTTTCCGTTCATGGGAACGCTACATTTGTGATTGCCCTTCAGGTGTCTATAAGGAAACCGAAGCAAAGCGTACATACAACCTCTGCCTGTGTCGTACCTTCAAGGCACACACCGATTTTGGTGCGGTAAATGCGCTCGTAAATAAAACTTCTATAGAAATGTGAAGTGAACCTGCATTGGGCATAAGCAAAGAAGCAGGGCAAAACATGGGAGTGAATGCTTCCTCTCCAAGTAAGGCGGTCTGTGCTATAATGACGAAACACTGCGCAAATGAAAGAGTACAGGCGAGAGAACAGTCGGACGTGAAGAGGCAGATGCTGCGTGTTTGGACGTGGCACTGCTGAAATCACTTGCAAACATCTGAACAAGACTTCAGCTCCTTTCCCGTGAGACCTCGAGTAGGAACAGGAACACTACCTCTACGAGCGCGAACCTAATAATTCCATTCGAAGGTGATGTTCCAAGAAATTGAAAACGAAGTGTGCCGTTAGGTTTTGCGCTGTAGTTACACCAACGATAACCAAGCTCAACACCGCTATAGCTTTTGAGCATGGAATTGCCTAAAATCCGCCAAAAATCATGCCTCTTACACTTCGTTGCGCATCAGGTTCATCCATTTCCACGGTGTGCATGATCTCTTTGACCGATTATGAGATCGATTCGACAACCGTGTAGGCACCAACATGACTTTTAGTACAGGAGTGAATTCCGCTTAGAAAGCGTGTTGCCATCCCAGGGTCTCAGTGCCTTTCTGCAGCTCCATCTGAGATGGTCGATTAAGATCTCGGCTCCTGTATCAGGAACACATCGAAGGATGAGGGGAGCCGTATATGATGAAGTAGCACTGCATTTGGTAATTCGTGACTACGACCGTTGGTATCACTTCATTATATAAACCCCAAGGAGCCGGTGCAGCAGCCCGCAACTAGGGGGGGAATCGCCAACGTTGGGGAATATGTCCCAAACGTTGGGATGTATCCCCAACGCTTGGGTGACATCACTCCCAAACGTTGGGGACATATCCCAACCTTGGGATGCCCTCCCCTCACCAACTAGGGGAGGGATCCCCACCTTGGGGATGTATGACCAAGGTGGGGAGACATATCCCCAACCATTGGGGAATTAACATCCGCACCTGGGGACATACTCACCCATCCCTCCCTCGTGACCTTCCTAAGCCAATCGTTCACAACGGGTCTTCGTCGCAGGACCACAGTGCCCTTCGCACCTCCGAAAGGCTCACGGCACCATTAACGAACGTGTGACGGACAGCGCAAGGAACGCACCTACGTGCCCGCGCTTTTGGGCAGGCCCGACGGACAACGCGGAACGTATGCGTCTGCAGCCCAATGCACTGCTTTATCTTTCGCCGCACCACGGTGTTCATTTATTAGGGTCTTTTGTAATCTCCATTCTATGAGCGCACCTTATCCCCCCCACCAGCATAGATACAACATAGCGGCTCCTAGAAATGGTCACCCTATGCTTACACTCTTGGAGGAGGTTTTTGAAAACCGCAGTCTGCGTTGATTTTTGTTCTGCATTTTCTTTTCATATTAATGTGAATGTCGAAATAGTGGTAAATAAGTCAAGTACGGCCGAACCTGAAACGGGACTGAATATGTTTTGATTAGAAAGCATCGATGCTAAATATGCCTTTGACGCCCATATGCAGGCCAATTCAGATCAAAATTTGCCTTTTTCACACCGTTAGCTACTTTCGGTCATTCGTACTTTCGATAACAATTCTTTACTACTGCACCTCTAGGTAGCGTTTCTGCCAGACATGAAAAATACAATCTGATCCCGGTATCAATCTATTTTTACAATTTATCACGCCCGGCCAAAATTCGCTCGAGTGGACGCTGAAGCGCGGCGGCGCGTTCGGCAAATCGCCAGCCGGTCCCCCACGCGGAATACAAAGGTAGGTTTTTAAAACTAAATTAGGTGGGGAATGGTGTGCGCCAAACCTGAGGCGCGAACGGCGCGTCAAGCGTCAAAAGCGATTGTCATAAATTTGTGATGCAAACCCACCGGACTACCGCCCTCGAACGCCAAAGTTTCAAAAAGATATTTTTTTTGCCAATTTTTTTTATTTTTGGGTTATTTTTATTTTGGGGGGTTTCAGTGCAACATACGTCTTAAGTAAAAAAATGTGCCTTTCAGCTCAAATATCTAATATGTCAGCTATCCCATTATTCTGTCGCCTACAAGCCTAACTTCCGAATTCGTGAACTAATGAAAAGCGGGGGCCCCCCGCTATCCCTTGGGAAGCCCCAGCAGCTCCGATGGACTGGCTGTTTTTACAAAAAATTCCATTGTTTTCTGATTTCAAGAACGTGGCGAGTTTTTTTATTTATGTCATTTATTATTTATTTAAATATCTTATTTAACCTAACTTTATTACATTCTTGTTATTCCTCCAATGACGCGCATTCCTTTACACATAGGGTAACGGAAAGGTGAAGAATAACCCTGAATAGATGCCCAAATAAAGCAAACAACAAAGAACGACCTCGAAGCCCTCATGATAGAAAAAACAGCGAATGAACAAAAGGCAAAGGTAAATAGACGAAAAAAGAAAGAGCGGAATACCGAAGCGAAACCAAAGGGTGAAAGAACCGAAACAGCTCTTCAACTCTCCCAGCGTGGCCAAGTGAGGGACCGAATCCCCGCCTAGTCTCGGAACTCACGGGGGATATATCCCTCCTGCCAGAGACCGCAGAGGGGTCGACGCAGTGACCGGTCGCGCACCGTTGGCGTCATAGGAGCCCACCCGAAAAAACGATGGTCTTGCGAACACGAAGTAGGGGATATACTTCGCCCAAGGTTGGGGATCCATCCCCGCAAAGGTTGGGGATATATCCCCAAGGTTGGGGATCCATCCCAAGGTTGGGAGGATGCTCCCCCTCCGCCCCACGAGGGATGGCTCCCCAACCGTTGGGAATGGATCCCCAAGGTTGGGGATAATAAATCCCCAAGGTTGGGGATACATCCCAACTCTTGGGGAATATCCCCAACCCATTGGGGATATATCCCCCAACGCCTTGGGGAACATATCCCCAACCGCAGGGGATGGATCCCGCAAGGTTTGGGGATCCCATCCCAAAGGTTGGTGATCAATCCCCTCGTTGGGAAAGGGGAGGGACCGCGCAAGGTTGGGGATCCCTCCCCTCCGTTGGGGCTTGCTGCACGCCGGCCCAGAAAGTTTGGTGTGTCGGTTTGTTGGTGAGTGGTTGGCTGTGTGCGTGCGTGCGTGCGTGCGTGCGTGCGTAGCGTGCGTGCGTGTCAGTGCGTGCATGCGTGCATGCGTGCTGTGCGTGGTGCGTGTGTGTGTGTGTGTGTCGTGTGGGCGCGCGTGCGGCGTGTGTGTGCGTGCGTGCGTGCGTGCGTGCGTCGCGTGCCGTGGCGTGGCGTGCGTGCGTGCGTGGCGTGGCGTGCGTAGCGTGCGTGCGTGGCGTGCGTGCGTTGTGTCGTTCTGTCCGTCCGGACTGACCGCTCCCAAAACCAGGGAGTACGAAGGGCAACACTTCGTGATGTTGATGTCATGATCATGAATAAACCCACAGCGGTTATATAAAGACCGATCGAGCACACCCTGTCTCACTCTACGTGATGCTGCCCGTGGCAGTTGGATGAGCGGGGAAGTGTAGAGGGAGGGGGCAAGAAAGGGAGGCTGGAAGGGAGTTGAGGGGAGAGAGAAAGAGGGAGTGAAGAGGGTGAGGAGAAAGGGAGAGACAAGGGTGCTGGCTATGCGCCGGTTAGAAAGGGTATGAGGAGGTACACACCATTAATAGTGATGTGGGTAATGGAGTACGTCATGCTGCTATTCCGTGGTTCCTCCCTTACCCTGTGATGCGCGCATAGGGCGGCGGAGTAAACCTGGTTTAAGATTAAAAGAGAAGCTGAGAGTTAATTTTTGAATTTTTATGCCCCACAGGACAAAAACTATGAAAGTTTGGGTAAAATATTTCAGTATCAAAAATTGAGATCGGCACCACAGAACTGTGAACCCTGCGACAGGCCGATTCTGGTGCTTCACCTCAGTTTTCTCAGCGTGCTCTTAACCTTTCTTAGAATGTCAGACAGAAAACAGTTCGGAGTTCTGGTGCATGTTCTCAACGACGGCTCAAAATGCCTCTCCTGCCTTCCCTTCCCCCCGCCCCCCCCCCCCTCAAATCGTTTTTTCATAGCTGCGGAACCCATTTTAGTTAGAAGAATAAACGATCACACAGACCCCTTCAGTTCCTCTGTAAATCAAGTAAAGAGTTTCGTTTCTGAATGAACGCGACGTGTTATCAGTCGTGCGTGTGGTGTGGTTTGCCCGCGATAAATAAAACAGATAAGCCTTGAAAATTATTCGTTTTTGAAACTCTCCGAAGCTGGAACTGAGCGATGGAACGTTGAAGGCTTGGACCACAGCTATTGAACGCACACATCTCGAAGGCGCACGACACCAAAAAAACTAATGTGATTCTTGCGTACAGAAATGAAAACAGCGCTGCAATTCGGGCAGCTAGTGACTGGGAAGCGACACTAAAGCCGCCGAAAACGCTAACATCAAAGGGCTTACTCATATTTGTGATTCAGTGGGAACTGGAAGCTCTTAAAGCGGTCTAGTGCCTTTCCTCGCGCACTACCGATGCGGGTGTCTGAGAAAGTTTCTCGTGGATTTGCTGCGCCATCTTGTGATGTGCTTCGATCCGGAGATGGAGACATTTTGTCCAGTATTTTTTTTTTTAGTGTTTTTTTTTTATTTGTTTTTTCTGTTTTTTTTTTTCTTTTTATTTCCTCTCTCAAAGTGGGAAAACTCTATTTCACCCCATCACCAGCCAAAAGCAACAGTTGATCCAGTACACGACATTTGGGGGGTGACGTGAAGGCAGCGGGCGTTCGAAATATTGAGCGATTTTGTCCGAAGATTAGGCAATAAGTGCAAAAAAGAATTTCAGTGGGTAGGAGAAACAAAAGCACCACAAAAACACGGAATTTTATCTTTTGAGGCCGACCATGGTACGCAGCGCTGCCAAGGAAGGATATACGCTGGGGACCACGTTGTATGCGAGAGGGCGCACACATCACGAATGCTGCAACTGATGAGAATAGAAGCAGCCGTAGCGGTCATGCGAAGGCAATAGCTCCCTTGTCGCGCACTTTGAGCGCCGCTGTGATCAGGAATCCTGTTATCTCACTCAAAGAGAGAATCATTCTAAGCCCAATAGCTACACTTACGTTTCACGAAACGGTTATTCTATGTGCACTTTTTGGAAACACGGTCTTCATGGCATAAAATACGAGTTGTGAAAATACAGTAAGCTCATAAAATTGGAAAAAATACAAAACAACAGTAACAGTGGTCGTTGGAATGTCAAATCACACATGTATACAACTGAGTCTGGAATCGTCGGATGATTTACCTAAGCATGAGGTAAACAATATTTCAAAACGATTCAATTTTAGACCGTCTCATTTCGGCACATCACATCGGTTGCAGTCTTTTTCGGCTATGAATCCTTCGATTTGAATCGTGCTTTCATGAACGCCGTAGACCCTTTTCAGCATCGTTCTTGTGTCTCGGAGAACAGATTGAGCGTTTTGCGGTTGAGCCACTTCAAGATGAACAGAGACGGCAACCTAAAAACTCAGAACTATGGCTCGCAAAGGTCGTAACGTTTAAGTATTAGGTGCCAGAAAGTTTCTCAGTACAGCTCCTTTTTTCTAACAAAACAGCATCATCCCGTCCAGTACTTGCGTCAACGCTTGGCTAGCTTGTCTGTTCCCTTCTCACTAGACGACAGCTTGTGCTCAAAATAGTCACCGTCGCCTTCTTACACTAATCCTACGTCTGAGAAATTTCCTGTGCAAAAAGCGCTGAAGGCGGTCCAATAGCCAAAAATCAATCAGTGACGTTTAGGGTACAGAGCACCTGAGTGATTATCCGATCGCAGAAGATAACTAGAAACGGCCATTAACTTTCACCCGGCCTTTCCGATAGAACAACCCAGTTCGAGCTGGCGAGGTCCAGGACTGGCGTCCTTTCAGGCAGCTACATCCCTGATCTTGCCCTGTATGATTACTACCTCTTCAGCCACCTTGAAACATCAGTCCCAGAGGGTCCTTAAGTTCGACACTAATGGTCTGGGACTATGCGCTAGTCCTTGTCAAGAACATGAGAAGTGTGACTGAACAAAAAACTCATCTTGGAAAACCGCAAGGAAGGGAGCTCCCAAATGGGCGTGGCGTCCGATCGGTCGCAACCTCCACTTGACAGTACTTCGATATGGGTCCATGCGCGATTGCGTATGTATGTGTATGTGTATGTGTACTGCGTTTCACAATTAATGCTACCTCTTTCTGGTTGATTTTACTTGGCTAACTCATTTGATTATCTTACTTGTTTATTTGCACTGATGCACATGTCTCTGCTTGTATTGGTGCACACGCTGCATTTCGCGCTGATGCTCAGCCAGCAAGAAAGGCCGGCGGCGCAAGTTAGCTCAAGCAGTTGTCCAACACTTTCTTCATTTCAATGGGAAAGAGGAGAGGGGGTCCCAGGTGAAAGACTTCATCGGCAGTTTTCTCTGCTGTTTTTTATCAGCAGTCAACTCGCCATCTGCAAATTCACAAGCGTTTTTACCCGCGAATTCGTTCTGGAATTGTTGCTTCAAGCCTTTCTGTGAAGAGGACGTACGAGATGCTGGATCAGATCTGAGAGGTATACGGCTCAAATTCTTAGTTCAAGCCACCGTCATTCGGCGAGGGGGGAACTGGCGAATTTTCTTACCACTGGTGTTGAGTGATAGATGGGTATGGTGCACATTTCCGATCTCTAGAGCTCGGTCGCTAATTGATTACTCTTCTTTCACGGTTGCTAGTGTACACCAGGACCATGTTTACCTTGTCCATCGTGAGAGCCCATATCCGTAAATCATGGACTTTCTTGACACCTTGGATCTGTTCCAATGAAGTGAAGACGTGCGAGAAATCAATGTTGCTCGGTCTGCCTGGAAATAAAAAGCTTTTCTTATTCTTGCTCGACATAAGCATTATGGAGTGACATAGCTCATGTAAGGCGAAAAAAAGGAGTTGGGGTGTTGTTGTTGGGGTTACAAAGAGGAAATAAATCAGATACCTAAGTTACATCAAACATACAGACCGAAGACCGCTCTAGAGGGAGAGAACGACACCTATTGTGAAAGGGAAACGATGTTCCTTCCAGCGCCTAGATCGGAACCTTCCCTCAAGAGATCCCGATCTTCGAAGGTTGCGAGAGTAGCATAGACGTGGGATTGGTGAGAAAGCATGCAAGTCACGAACCAAATCTGCCGGAACCCAAGAAAATCGGATTTTCTAGAAATCAGAGGGATAATTTAATTATTCCCCAGATTCCCACAACGACAAACCCACAAAATTCAAGTCCTTGAATGGATTATTTCATGAGAAAGGCTAAATGCTAAAGTCAACGGGTTATTCACATCCACACAAAGCATTGAGAGATTGGGCACGGAAGTGAGAGGATAGGTGAGAGCACGTTGGATAAGAGAGCGTAAACACCAGGATGCTGCATCTGCAGAAGAAAAAGCAGAAGCAACTAGCCAACTTTGTGAGACCCTAGCGCCAGTCTCTCCCCTCCCTTTGGCCCCTTAAAGCCGGGATAACGGAACGCCGACCACCATCGTGAATAGAATCCTACCCATCAAAAGGCACGCATTCAGTGTTCTGAACTTTCTGCAGCGCGAGTGTATGTTCCAGCCTTTTTGAAAAAAAAACCTTCCTTGAGTAGAGATAACCTCGTCATTCAGACTCACATAGGTCCATATCGGAAATCCTCCATTTCCAGTGGAGTTTAAGTTCATTTCCGAAGACTAGACGCCTCAGTTTGCGAACTTCTTGAACCGGGTTACGATTCTCTTTCCAACGTCTGGCGAGAGATTAGCATGCAAACGGTGGAGCACTGAGTGACTTCAACGTTTGCCTTGCTCCACGGAAGAGCTCTACGGGTGGCGCCAACTGAGCGCGTCGCGAACACGTCACATTGACGTCAGAGCGCAGCGAGGCTAACGCAACGACCAACTTGCTTCATCGAAAATTACCTCAAAACATTGCGTAGTTACACTCTCTCATGCTCTAAGGAACTGCCTAGTGAGTAGAACAAACGACGGAAGAGTGGAATTCAGAGCGTGCAATGGCGGCTACTACGCGTAGAATCACTTTAGCTTCAACAGCTCACTGATTGCCACTGGCCTGTGCGTTGCCAGCCGGACCCTTCCACTTCAACCGAAGTGGCAGCGACGCTGCCGACTTGCCTCGTTCCACTTCTCGGCAGCTGTGACGTGCGTCGGTGCGCGCTCCCGTCCGCGCCCCTTGGTGAGCCTTTCTCTTCCCCAACAGTCTTAGTCGTGCTTTGCTCTCTCTGTGGAGTTTTTTTTTTAAGGAATTGTTCGAGAAGATAAGGCGCTTGATGACAGTAGAAGTAGTTCTCAACCTTGAACGCCACATTTGGGCCTCTGAGGACGACGACATTGTCGAACCATTAGGCCGATTTGCCAATGTTCCACCTATTAACCCGCATGGCGCACACAGTAAACACAAACGCAAAACAAAATAAAGTTTCGCAAAAGCGCTGCGCTAGCCATAGGAACAGCTGTTTCAAAAAAGCCATACCTTCTTAACAAAATATGAAAACCGTTATATTCAAAAATCGAAAGAAGATATTGGAGCGGAACGTAAATAAGGCAACGGAGAGGTTATGCGCAATATAAAAAAAACTTACCTTACGAGTAAAACAACCAATGCATCTCTAAGGATGTGAATAGTAGTACATAGCACAATTACAGAGAAGAGAAGCGTGCAGATCGGATCGACGATAGCCCAACCTTCCTGGAAAGTCGAAACTTTGTTCTACCGCCAACTTTGCAGTTGTACTATAAAAAACTAAAGCAGGATGGGTCACAGCGATCAATATGGATTTGTGGACGGTGTGTTGACTTAAGTGAAAAAAGAAACAAAGAAAACCGTCAATGAACCCCTGAGTGAGGAGGCCTCTTAAAATGAGGAAGGGCGGACCCAGACCAGTTCTACGAGCTTCCATGCTCCATGGCCTAAGTAACCAGGTGTGGTCACTGGGACAGAAAGCGACTTTTTGAGTTTACAGCGCGAAACATTTCCCGCTGCAGGAGCCTCAGCTCCACTGCTTATTATGAGTGGACCTGGAATTCTTGCAACAATTACTGTTTATCGCGCGAAACGCGAAAAAGTCGCTTTCTGATTTGGTGAACCGTACCCGAGACGCGATAGGCGCGCAGGAGGTGTGCGCGACTCATCTCGTCCATATGATAAGAGTAATCGCTGAAGGTTCACTCTGTAAAGCCCTACTGTCGCGCACTATCGAGCCCGATAATGGCACATCCTACTACTCGTGGGCTACCCTATCCCATCCAGTGAATGGAATAATCGACTCCACTTTGCTGGGGGAAGGAGGGTTGCTTTAATAGTCAGCTATACATCTTCGCTTTGGCCCCGTTCACCGTTTGAATCCTTCCCCTCTTCGTGCAGTTTTCTATCCGTATTTCAGACCTGGTATTTAGGTCCACACCCTAGTAAATGTCTATACCTCTAAAGTAATTTTTCCGAGGATTCATATTTCGACAATATGGCTACATATCTATGTAACACAATCAAGTCGTGCATATGAAACACATAGACTTCAATCTCAAACCAATTCCTGAAACTAACAAAAATTAGATGAACTTCCGCTGAGCTCGAAAAAATCAGTGATTCATATAAAAAATTTGATACATAAGAATCAATGATATCTCGTGCATTTTGTGCCTGTTGATTAATTACTGTTGAATCCAAACACGTCGGACACTTTCTGGCCCTTTTTCCTATTACAACATATTTTAAACACTTTCAGCTCCGCTTTTCCAATGTGTAAAAGCAGATCACTTTTGTCTGCTTATCCGGGAACTCTGTTTGATAGTGTGCGAAAAAAATAGGTTCATCATAGACTACTACCCATCATGAAGATGGTTCCTTCTACTTGCAATGAAGCGTCCACGCCCAAACCCTCCTGCGCACCGCAGCGATTCAAGCCGCCAGCATGGGTCAGTTTATGAACAGATTGATGAACATGTTATTCCTTCTTCCTCATATCGACTGAGCACGGTACCTTCAGAGGCTCCTAAATCTCCTGCCACACCTATGGATGAGTGTCTCTAATAAGCCCCCTTCGCTTCTTCTGCACAGTGCTGCATATGAGGTACTTTCTTTTCACTACATGCATCATTTTCGAGCTTCATTTCTTCAAGTCCAGACCTGACGAACTAATCTGACGCTGTGCATTTTCTGGGTGCATTCTTGTATTTTAAAACAGTCTCCATATTGCAAGCCGACTTCGGCGTGTATTTTTCAATTTGAAGAGAGGAAGTGCCAACAGTGGAAAATTGCAATTTCGATAACTTGAGGGGGGGGGGTGGAACGGAGCTCTTCGATGAGCTCGAATAGTTTCGAATATAACCGAAATAGGGCAGGGGAATACTACACGGCGGGCACACTTTGACCGACCTAATATTTTTGCATCGAACCACTTCAAAACACCAGCGAAGATGTTCTGCTTGATAAATTTATGAATGATGAAACTTTGCAGTATCATATTAGCAGCAATTCTCAGCATCACATAGATGATTTCGTCAAACGGGCGGCTTTTTCTAAATAAACTGCTTCATGTACTTGTTTTGAAAGAATGTCTTCGACTTCGATCTGGTATGAAAGTGGAAAGTGCGAGTGTGACGACGACTGACATCCGTGGTGTATGCCTCCATCTATGCAAAAGCAGTTAGATGGTCTCGGCGACTACTCTAGCTCACAATGCGAATGCTAACTAGATTGTAGGAATCGGATCCAATTGCGGGTAGAAAGCGCTTGCCGACAATCTGGTTGCTAATTGCAAAGATGCTTTTCAACTTAGAAAATGAGTGAGGCGTTGTATGTATGCTTAAAAAATAAATATGGATAGCAAAACGGCGCAGTTGAACGATGGCGTACCGCGTCTTAATTAGACAGTTCAAACACGAAGGAATACGATACATCGTACAGTCTGAGGAAGATGCTAACAGGTGGAAAATTGCGCATGAAGAGAGGAAGTGCCAGTGGAAAATTGCGATTTCGTAACTTGGGTGGGAAACGAAGCTCTTCGATGAGCTCGAATCAGTTTTCGAATGATAATCGAAATATGGCAGGGGAATACTACCACGGCGGGCATACTTTGACCGACTTAATATTTTTTTTTTTTTTTTTTTTTTTTTTTTTTTTTTTTTTATTATTTTTTCATTCGCACACTTCAAACAGCACGAAGATGTTCTGACTTGGTAAATTTAT